TAGAAAAAAATTAAAAATTTATAATAGTGTATAAGAAACAAATAAAATGTTTTATTTTATATTATCAATGCAAGTTGAGCTTATATCAATAAAGTTCTAAGCTTAACCCTAAATTCAATTTTTGAAATAGACTTATCAAATTTTATATTATTTTCATGTTTAAATAGATCATATTTGATTTTATTAATAAACAAATTATGTTAAAATTATAATTTATTATAATTATTTAAAATTAAACGAATTTAATTGTTATATAATATTTATTTATTTTAAAATATAACATATTTACTAAAATTTAGTTTAATATAATTACTGTAATTTCACCAATAAATTAATAAATTATATTATTGATATCAATGAATTAAATATTATAAATATATTATATTTAATTTCTATAAAGATTGTTCTTTAATAATTGGACTCATATTTTATTTGTACTATTTTAAAATTTTCGTTTATTTTTTGTTTGTTTTTATTGGTTTATTTTATTATAGCAAAATATTATATTTGTTCCAGATATTTTTTTTTAAAAAACTTCAAATTATAATAAAGTTCTTTCATAATCTATTATAAAAATAAAATATAGTTTTTAGTCTTTTTATTTTATGATGAATATCTCATATAATTGAATTTTATTCTTAATTTGTTTATTCATATATGTTAAGTATTAATGAAATTTAATTATAGAATTTGTGTGTGTAACATATTATAAATCTAATTTGAATTAAAATCAATGGCAAAATATAAATCGATAACAACTTAATTTTTGTATTTTATCTTTTAATTTAATTTTGTATGATTCTATAAAAATATGTTAATTTGAACTTATTTGGTAAAAATATATATAATATTTATAAATATAATAAAGAAAATAAAAAAAGTTATTTTTAAATTTTAAATTACAAGTAAACTAAAATAAGAGAAAATTAAAAAAATAAAAGAAAAGAGAAAAATAAAAAAATCACGTGCGGCAGCGAGGCCACCCAATTTATGTCATGTCTGCGCCAGAACATCTCCATTTCGAATTCCTCTCTCTCCTTCTGAAACTGAATTTGGAGAGATTTGTCTCCTAAACTCGAAGCCAAAACCTTGTTCTCATCTCTTAGCGCTCCCGCGATACCCGTATCCGAGTTGTTTAATTGCTACAGCATAT